TCAAACAAAAGGAGGGCGGGCCGAGCAAGGACCTCCCTCTCGGCGTCTCGTGGGACAAGCAGAGCAAGAGGTACCGCTCCACGAAGTACGTTCGCGGCAAGATAGTGAAACTCAACGCCTTCGACCCGGACAAGCTGGGCCACGCCGCGGCGGTGGCGCGCGCGGGGCGGTTGTACGCGTCCGCCAGCCGCCTCGCCGTGGAGATGGCCGGCACGCTCAATCGCCTCGAGGTGTCGGATATGGCGGCAGTCTTTCGTACTGTCCTGATGGAGAAGGAGGAGGTGCTGATGGCGGGCACCTCCGTGAGGGGAGATCCCAAGTGCGACAATTATCGTGCGGCTCATACGGCGCGCTCACATCTCTCACCTGGCAGCCTGTTGACAGGGGGCGGCCGGCCGAGGTGCACTGGATCGAATGCGGCGGCTGCTCTGCGTGGCAGTTTCTGCCGGAGGGCACGCCCACGCCCGGCTCGCCCGACGAGCAGTGGGTCTGCTCCATGCACCCGCTGCTGCGCCAGTGCCAGCCCTGCCCGGAGGCGGCCGGGGGCGCGGCGTCGTCGACTGTCGTCGCCGACTTCGTCGCCGCGGCGTCCATCGCTGCCGGGCCAGTGATCCACGCCCCCGCCGCCGGGGCGACGGCGCCGGCAGGGGCGCAGCCGCGGCCGCCCAAGCGCAGCCGCAGCGAGCCGTCCGACTCCAAACACACACGCATGAAGAGGCGGGGCGCCATCGGTGCCGGGTGACGGCCGACGTGTGGAGAGAGAGCCGGGAGGCGCCGAGAGAGAGAGAGAGAGAGCGAGGCAGCGGTGCGTGCATGCCTTTGGACCCCTGTCTGCGAGTGGTCAGCTGTGAACGCATCGACTTTGCATCGACTTTGCATCGAGCAGGGGCCCGATGATTGGCCGGCTTGTTTTCTTATTCTTTTATACTCCTGCTGCTGCTGTAACCACCGGTCCTCAGGACAACAAGGCCCCACGGCACACAGGTGGAGAGGCTCGAGATAGCAGATAGGCCCCACGGCACAAGGTGGAGAGGCGAGAGCAACCAAACGCTGATGTGCGGTGTGCCGCGCATCAGTGAGCAAAGCCCCGATATGCCCAAAGGTGCGGGCTTCTGAGTGCGACTTTCAAAATTTACCATTTCCCTCACTAGCTTTGTATGAATCGGGAGCGGAGTCTCAAATAGGACACAAACCGAGATCTCACTGCCCACCCCGCCTCTCCGCAGGGTATGTGGGTATCTGGCGAGCCGCCCAGGCGCAGGGGATGCTCCCCCATCGCCATCCGCCACAGGACCTCCACCGTCGGCGACCGCCCCTCCGAACGTCCCCCGCTACACCTCGCATGGAAATCTTCCATGTACTCTACCGCGCTCAAGAGCCGCTGAACTAAGAGCCGCTCTTGCCGAGCATGTGTCGTAAAGACACCGTTGGTGAGCGCCTTCTCCCACGCGTCGCTGAAGCCCGCCACAAACGGGGCGATATGGAGCCGGTGCAAGGAGAACTCATGCTCGGGGAAGTGCAAGTCCACCGCCTGCGGCTCGAATGGCGCCACCCGCACGTACACGTCCCGGGGAGAGATCTCGCGGCCCGTAATCAGCAAAGGGTGGCCCTCGTCACGGGCGCTGTACATCCGAGGGCCGCCGACGTAATTAGCAGGCACCTCAAAGTCGAGGGTGCCCGTCGTGAGCTTCTCGTGAAGCGACGGGTCGGTCGGCCTCCGGGGGCGCCCTCACAGGCGAAGCGCCAACGCGCGCCTCGAGCAATCCCACGATGGCCCTCCTCAGCTCCGTGTAGTGCTCGTGCTCGACTTTGCGGGCATTGCTCGTCACCTCGAGCGGCGACCGCCCCTCGTGCGGCCTGCGAGGGTCCGCCCCCGCCTCGAGCAGCGCCTCGACCGCCTCCACATTCAACGCTCTGCTCGCCAACCAAAGGCAAGGCGCACCCGATGGCGACGTTGTCTCTGGCGAGACTCCGTCCTCGAGGAGCCGCTTCGCCTGGGGAGCCATGTCATTCCCTCCCGCCACCTCCCTAGGCATGGTCTGGCACACGCGGATGAGCGCGGCACGCTTTCTGCTCCGCCGCGCCTCGTCCGCCAAAGCGCGCAACGCCGTGGCCGTCGTGTACTCGACGGGCGGGGGGTGCGTCCTCGGCAGAAGAGGCAAGTACTCGATTAGCATGCGAAACCGCTCCTTGCGCTCCAAAGCGGCCTGCCTGTGGTCGCGCGCGTCCTCTCCTAGCGGCGGATTCACCGCGTCGGGGTCGGGGCCTGGTGGGGAGTCGTAGCCGTCATCCTCGGAGCCGCCCTCGGGCGGCAGCGAGCCCTTCTCCTCGACGCCCTCCTCGGGCGGCTGCGACGACGACGACGCCGCGGCGCCTCCAGTGACGCGGCCGCGCGGTATCGGGGCGTTCATGGCCTGCCCGTCTCGCTGTAAATCGATCTCGTCAAACTCGGCGGGCGACACGCAGAGCCACGTGCACAGCTCGCCTGGCGCATCAGCAGAGGACGCCGTCGGGAAGAGCCGCCGCAGCACGCGAGGGAGAGGGTCGCCCTGGCGCAGCGCGGCCATCTCGGCCGCCAAGCCGACGCTCGCGCAAAAGGAGGGGATGTCCGCGCGCGCCGCCCACCGCCGGGACGCCATCGCAGCGAAGTTGAGCAGCTGCGACTTGTGCACCGTCCACGTCGGCCCGCCCGGCGGCACCGCCTCGACGAGTGCGTACGTGCCGCTCGCGTCGAAGATGGGCGGCACGTCCTGAAAGACGCTGATCACGATGACCGGGTAGCGGTGCCACGGGTGGTCGGGCGGGTCAAGCGCGGGTGGCTTCTGGAAGAGCGTGTTCTCCCCCACCTTCTGGGCCTTGTCGGGCCGTTTGAGGTGCGGCTCCACTGAGACCCAGGCGATGCGGCCTGGGCGCACCCCCCTGAACGGGAGTATGCACTGCTCCTCCGGCCTCTCTCTCCGTCCACTGCACAGCCCCTTTAGCCCCTTTGGCGCCTCCGTGTCCGCGTCGCGCGCGCGCGCTTTGCCCTTGCCCGACTTGTGCGGGGGCAGGTACCGTCCCTGCTCAAGGCGGAGGGGTGCTCAAGACGGGCGTGGTGCGGCGCGGCGCTGCGGGGAAGGGCGGTGGGCGCACGTCGGGCATGTGCTTGAAGAGGGCCATCAACGCGTCCTCTTTGCTGAGACCGATAGGCACGATCGGCCGGCATTCGCCGACCTTGATCCACTTGCCGTCCGAGCGGCGCAGATTTGTAACCGGGCAGATGTCCGAGGCGAGCATCGAGACGGGCAGCAGGGCAACCTCCGGCTCCGCCGAGTAGCGCACGTCGCAGCGCTCGCCGCCTCGCTGCGCCTTGCTGCGGCGCGAGCCGACCTTCGGGAAGGGCTTCCCGGCCAGCGGTTCGTCGGGCACCACATAGGTCTCGAACAGCTCGTACTCTCGCACGCCGGTCCGGTGACCGAGCAGCGCCTTGTGAATCTGACCGAGGGAGGGCGAGCGGCGAGGCACGTGGGCGGGTGGCGGGCGGGTGTGCGGCCGACAGCACAGCACGGCACGCCTCAAGCACAGCGGCGGTGTAGGATGACCAAGACCTGCCGACGAGCCAGCGGAACGCTTCGAGATCGGGCCGAGCGCCGTCCGGATTGACCGCGATGCACTTCGTCAGCCCGTAGACGAAGAAGTCGGCGTACACGATCTGCAGGACGACGAGCCGTTCCGTGGAGAGGCCAGACCAGTCCACTCCTTCCACCCCGTGGCGCTCTCGCCAGGCGCACTCAATGCGCGGCGTGCGCATCTCTGTGTCGCCGTCTTTTCACAGGAGTTTTTTATTTCTGCTCAGACGTCTCCCCCCCCCCCCCCCCCGAGGCCTCAACCTCCAACTAAAGGGCTGACGGGGGTCTCAACCGTAGCCAGGTACTCCTTGAGGCCGTGCTTGCCACGACGCCGGACTTGCGCCACCCGGCGTGGATTCCCTGGATGGCTTCGAAGTGGAAGCGGTTGATGTACGTTAGGGTGCCCACAGGACCCAAAAAAAGAAAGGAAAAAAGAAATGGGGCAAGCCGATCGCAGCACTTCAGTCGAGATATTGAGAGTGTGACTAGGAGGGTGGCACGCTGGGGATTCTCAAAGGTGTAGATCCCCCCCCCCCCCCCTTCTCCGCGCCCGAGCATTGAAAAAAGAAATAACTTGAATCTTCCCGGCCCGCTGGGTGCGCTCCTTAGCTCCCCGGCCCTGGGCACGGGACTGGCGCGCACTGGCACTAACACAGGTACACCACTTCTTCCAAGAAAACTCCGTCGCACAACACTGGGCACAGGACTGGTGTGCGAAAAGAACTTGCAATTCACAACAAAACTCCACCGCCCGCCCGCCGCCCGCCCGCCCGCCGCCCGCCCGCCCAGCTCCGCCGGTCAGTGAGGACACTGTACCAAGGGTTGTGATAGACCCGTCAAGCTAGCCACTCCCTGGCGATGCCGCGCCACCTGCCGGGGGGCACCCCGGCAGGCTGGCCCCCGCTATCTGAGACCGGAAGCAAAGCGCCGCCCTCTGCTTCTAATCAGTTGGTCCTGGTCGCTCCCGTCGGCCGGGGCCCGTTCCCTGAAGCCAGACTCCCGTGTCCTCGCTAGCCCGGTCGCGCATCGCCCGCTGCGCGTCCCGGGCCAGTAGGCCACACACATTCGCACCCATCTCCCCCTGCGCGCCGCCAACAGAGGTCCTCACTCGACCTCACGCCCGCCTCGTTTTATCTCGTAGGTGCGATGCGTGTAGATGGCAGCTGGTTTGGAGCTACGAAATTACTCTCGGGGGAAAAATCTCTTTTGATGCACATGTCATATGTCTCTCAGGTGTTGTCGTACGATAATGATTAATTCGCAATCGCTCGTGCAGACTGTGAGAGACCACATGATCCATGTGAGATCGTGTTGACTGTTGTGTCACATGCGTGAGCCCCAAGTGCGCGACGAAGAGTGGTGCATGTGCATGTGCATGTGCATGTGCATGCATAGGTCACACCTCACCGGTCATCGTCTCATAAGAGCGCATAACACGCGACGGGGGCAGAGAACGCCCGCTAGGCCCGCGCTCCTCACTCCTCCGCTCGCCCTCCTCTCGTCCTCCTCCGCCTCCTCCGTGCTCCGAGCTCAGGAGCCGCCGCATCGAGCTCCGCCTCGTATGCGTCGAAAAGTGACTCCAGCTCCCAAGTCGCCAACTCAGGCGGGTACCCCTTCCAGAGGATCAAACAGTACGACACCTCGACCCGCTTCCTGCCCTGTGAGGCGAGAATAGGTGGGCGGCCACATGAGCGATGGAGTGCAATGGGCGAGGGCGGGTGCGAGTGTGAGAATGCGCTCAATGTCGAACTTCTCACTCGCCTCCCACTGCCAGCCGTTGAGCTCGCAGATTGTGGCCCTCTTCTTCTTCTTCTTCTTCCCGCCGCCGCCGCCGCCCTCGCCGCCCTCTTCGCCCGCCACCCGCCGCTGCCGCACCTTCCGCACCACGCCTGACTCAGGCACTGCGGGTCGCGGCGGCGCGCGCGGCGCTTAATTAGCGCTTCACCACCCATCGTGCATCAGCCCCCAACGCTCCTCCATGAAGCACTCGAGGCGGGAAGCCTCTGCAAAGCGCGAGACGGCGGTGGCGTAGCCCGGAGCTCCAAAGCCGCCAAACTCATCTCCTGCCGGGACGCCAAAGTTTTCGCGACGAATCGTCCACTCGCAAACGTCGCCACTCCTCACTCGCGTCTGATCCCCCTTCTCCACGAGCCGCACGAGTACATCGCCCCCTGACACCTCGATCAGGGTCCCAACTTCGCCACGATGACCGCCTCGAACGATCATGACCTCACAACCCACCGAAGGCAGCGACGGCTGCAGCTCGTCTTCGCGGCACGTCTCCACGCCGCCCGCGCCGTCGCGCCGCACGCAGAGCGCGTTCGCCTCTCGCGCCGCCACCACCACCGCCGTCGCATCTCCACGCCGGACGCGCAGCCCCTTTACAGCCCACGTCGTCGGCGCCGCAGCCGCCTTTGCTACGGCCGGCGCCGCCGCAGCTCGCTTTGCCGGAGCCCTCCCATGGCTCTGGTCCCCCTCTCTTCGCCTGCGGCGATGCCGGCGCTCACGCCCTCGCGTCCTGTCCCCGTCGCTGCCGCGCTCGCTGCTCTCTCCGCTGTGGCTGCCGCTGTGGCGGTGCCGCTGCCGCCGCCGGTCCTCTCTGCTGCCCTCTCTGCCGCGCTTCCGCTCAACACGCCGCTCGTCACCGTGCCGCTCGCTGCGGCAGCGCGTTGGATCCTGGTGGTCTCTCGCCACCCCAGTGAGGAGACGGTGCGCAAAGCGCACATTTGGGACTGTGGTTCGAGACCAGGAGCCGGTGCAGCCTCGGAATGCCTCGCCCGCTGCCGCCTCGGCCCTGAGCAAGCGAAGCACGGCTGCATCATAGGCGGGGTCGCGGTCGTCTCGGAACGAGAGCACGGCTGCCCGCGCCGCTTGAAGCTCGTCCATGGCCCCGGGGCCGTACTCGCCCCTGGGCGGCGCACACCGACGCGCGAAGGCAAAGATTCTGGCGCCCGAGGCCCGGGGCAAGCTCTCTCACTCACCGCCACATCGCTCGACGAGCGAGCTGTTTTCTTTTTTTGAGAGCGCCTTCGTTGTTAATAGTACAAACCCAATGGTCTCTTGCGAGCGGTCCTTCATTGCAGTCGCACACACTCACACGCCACGCCGCACCGCGCGCCCGCCCACTGCCCCGCCCAGGCGGGAAAGAGATGAGGAGATGGGACAGCAAAGGAGGAGTACGAGCACGTATGGGAGGGTTCAGTAATGCGCCACGCTGCCCGGCGTTTCTCACTTTCCGGGACAGCCCCGCCCTTTTGAGGCAGGAGAGTGACGGCTACCCCGTACCGCGTACGCACCTGTTGCTCTACCCCGACGCCGACCGCCCATTCTCCCCTCCTCGTTCCCGCCTCGAATCCTCCGGACCCCGACAGGCCGCCCGACGTTGGGCCCCTTCCCCGCACGCCCCCGCCCCTTCTGCCCCTCGCACACACCCAGGCCCGACATGCACATACAAGACAAACCCGGCGTCCTGCTCTCAAAAGAAAAGAAAAAATGGGAAGGAGGAGACCAGCGGGGGAGACTCCCCGCCTATGCAACACCCCAGAGAGGGGCTGCCATCTCCGAAGCTGTGCCTAAGCATAACTCCCAAACCCGCAGCGGCCCGGGGGGCCTTGGGGGCAGCCTGCCGGACCGCTGTTGCACGGGGCCAAGCCCCAGAAGATGAGTGTAGTTGATGGATCGGGCTGTCGACCGTGCCTCCCCTCTCTTCGCCAGAGTGGGACCTACGCCGCGCCGGGTAGGGGGCGCGCCTGGTCCTCGACGGAGCCGCGCGCCCCAAACGACCCAGGCGGCGAGTAGTCGTCGTCGAACCTTCGACACGTAGTCGCCCGTGGTCAGCGCCCCTCCTCCCTCGCCCGTCCCTATTCGTACTGCACCCGAGGCGCCCGCGGCATCTCGCCGCCCATCTTCGGCCACGCGTTGTAGTCGAAGATGGCGGCGTTGCGCCTCGCGACGATGGTCGAGTGCACTTGCAGGAAGCGCTTGCGCTCGCTGCTGACCCGCCATCGTTCGCTGTCGGAGGATGCCTTAGCAGCCTTGATGTCGAAGTTGGTGTTGAACCACGTCGCCGCCTCGTGCCCGATGCCGCCACGCGTGCTCGCCGCCCACGTCATAAAGTCGCAGTTTTTGGCGTCGCACGCCGCTGCCTTGGCCTTCCGCTTCGTCGCCTCGGCGTAGTCGGTGGCCAGGTGCTTGCCGCTCGCCAGCGGGCGCAGCCTGTCGTGGTGCACCGCGGTGACGCACGTGCCGTCGTACACCACGGCGCGTGCCGACTCTGCATAGTTGCCGAAGACGCCGTCGCCCCGCTGGTACGGGTTGGTGTCCGGATCGTGCGCCCGCGTCGGGTCCCTGCAGCCGAGCCTCACCTCCATGACCTTTGCCGAGGCGCCGAAGGCGCGGGCGATGTCCGTGACGTGGGTGTTGAGGGATGCGTGCCCCGTGGCCAACCAGCCGCCGTAGTTGCACCCGTCCCAGTGCGTGCCACTGAGGTGCTCGAAGAGCGACAGCGTGCGTGGCACTCGCGCTTCGCCGATGTCGCACGGGACGCATCCTGGTAGCCTCGAGCGGTGGTAGATGCACACCGAGTTGGGGCCCACGCCGATGCAGCGCGTGGCGAGGGTGATGGCGCCCTTGGGGTGGTTGAGGTAGCCCTGCGCCTCGTGGAGCCACGCCTGGTCGTGCAGCTCGACGGCTTTGTGGACGACGTCGATGCCGAGCACCGCGCCCGCCCCGAGTTGCTTCGTCGCGCGGAAGTGCGCTCGCGTCGCCAGGTGCACCTTCGGGTCGTTGACGATGGCGTCGAACATGTCTTGCTGCATTCTTTCTTTCGAGGGAGTTTTGTTGTAAAATTCTTTCTTTCTTTCTCAGAGCCGACGGCACAACGAGGGCGCGGACTGGCGCAGCCTGGAGCAACATGGGCACAAGGAAACGATCCTCTCAAGTGCTCTCGCGCTCTCGGACAGCCGGGAAGAACGGAAGGAATCGTAAGACTCAAGTTGTTCTCATACAGACCTTATCTCCCCCAAACACTTCTCGGAAGAGAGAGCTCTCGGCTACGGGACCGGCCCCAGCTTCGGCTGAGGGCTAACAAGCTGCCGAGCCCAAATCACTGTGAGAGTCGTGATTTCTTGTTGGTCTTCAAAAATCTCTCTCTAACACTTCTCGAACCATCCCTCCCTCGGTAGCAGCGGCGGCGGGTCGATCCTCGTCAGCGGGGGTGGAGGAGGAGGTGTCGAGGGAGGTGGTGAAGGAGGAGGCAAAGATGGAGGAGGAGGCGGCGAGGTAGGAGGAGGCGGCGAAGACGGAGGGAAAAGAAAGAAAAGGAGCGCCCAAGAGAGGGATGGTGGAGGACGGCACGCCGAAGACGGAGGAGGAAGCGAAGGGGGTTGGATAATTCTTTCTTTTTGAGAGCTTTCGCTGATGCGAACGGTTTCTTTTTTGCTCCACGCCGGGGGAGCGCTCGAGGAGGGCCGCTCAGCACGCATTGCCCTCGAGCGGCGCATCGACGTTGCGAGCGCCGAGATTGAGGCGTGCATCGCCGCTCTGGTCCGCACGCCGCATACGCGCAGGACGCGTCAAAAGAGAATACGCGGGACACGGGAAGTATCACAGCCGAGCTTCCCGGATCGGCGGGTGGAAGCTCTGGCGACTGGCAATGGGTCTCCTCTGTCACCCAGAGGAAGAGCTCAGCATATCTAGCGCGGGGTGGACCCAGTGGGGAGCGCCGTTCGGTAAAAAGCTCCCCTTTCCTGAGCTTCCGCGCGCGCCACGGTCCCCCTCGCGGCGGGCGATGTTCCCGCGCATTGGCTAGTCCACCTTCCCGTCAAAATCCCAACCGTCTCAGGACCTCGACATCTTCCTCCTTCGGGCTGGCCGGCGGAGCCTCGGGCCGGCTGCCCGCCTGTCCCCCCTCCGCGCCACCGAGAGAGTGGCCAATCTGCTTGAGGAAGTCGACATCGCTCTTCGGAGTGGGCGGCGGGGCCTTCATGGGCGGCCTGAGCACGGCCGCTGGACTCACCTCGCCCTCGGCGGCCGCCTCCTCGCCGCGCGCCTGGAGGGGGACCCCGAGCCGGTTGTCGCGCGTGATCGACCCGATCTGCCCGGTCACCTCGGCCCACAGCTCCTTGAGCTTCCCGTCGACCCCGACCGGGCGGTACGCCTCCTTGAAGGCGGCGAAAGACTGGCCGGCGGCGTGCGCCGCGGCGATGCTGTTCTTGACCTCGAGCAGCCCCTGCCGTTGCGACGCCTCGCGCCTCTGCATCGCCTCCAGCGTCGACGGCGACGGCATCGCAACCTCCACCTCCGCCGTCGCCGCTGCATCTTTGGCCTCCGCCTCCGCCTCCGCCTCCGCCTCCGCCTCCGCCTCCGCCGCCTCCGCCTCCGCCGCCTCCGCCTCCGCCGCCGCCTCCGCCGCCTCCGCCGCCTCCGCCGCCTCCGCCGCCTCCGCCGCCGCCGCCGCTGCCACCGCCTCCACCGCCTCCACCACCGAAGCCTCCACCGCCGCCCCCTTCACGGCCGCCTCGTCCGCCCCCTGCTCAACCTCTGCCGCCTCCGCCTCCGCCTCCGGCGCGTCGATGGGCGTGAGGCGGGCCTGCTGCGCTGCGGAGTGCGGCTCTTCACACCGCTCCGCGTCCGCAGCCGCCTTGGCCTCTCCGCCCTCGTCGTCGTACGGCGCTCTGGGACACCCATCCCTGCCACTCTCCCAGCCGGCGCTCTCATACAGCCCCGCCCCTTCTGGATGGAGCGGCAAGTCGTCGACGTCCTCGCCTCCGCCGCCGCCCGCTGCGCCCTGTCGCCTCTCCTCGCCCCCCAGCCCCAGCACCTCTGCAATACTCGCCGCCTCCTCCAACTCGCTGGCGGAGAGGGCCGAGTTGGACTTGTCCGAGACGTTGCCCGAGTTGGACACGGACTGGGGCGAGCGCTTCTCCACCCGCTCCGCCTCCTTGAGCTCGCGCACCCGCGACACCACCTCCTCCCGCTTTTGCAGGCGCTCGAGCTCCTTGCGCGTACCGGCGAGCTCTCTCGCCGCCCACTCCCTAGCGGAGCGCTCCTTGGCCGCCTCGGCCAACGCCTTGTCCTTGGCGAGCGCCCCCGCCTACGCCTCGGGCGACTCTCGCCGGTCACAAGTCTCGGGATGCATCTCGGGTAGCGCTCCCCTTTGCAAGAGAGCGGCTCTCTGCCTGCGCGGCCTCCTCGAGGTCCTGCAGCCTGGCCACAACCTCTGCCAGCGCGCGCTTGCTCTCCTCGCGGTCTCGCTCCGACTCGCGCACCTGCGGACACGTCGCTGGCGTGCGCCCGTGCCGGCGTGTTGCGCTGTGGGTGGGGGCTGGTCTGCGGGTGGGGCTGTGCTGTGCGCGCGCTGCTGCGTGCTGTGTGGGGCTGTGCGCGCGCGGCTGCGTGCTGTGTGGGGCTGTGCCGTGGGGCGGTGCCGTAACGCTGTGCCGCGGGGAATGTGTGCTGTGTGGGGCTGTGCCGGGGGGTAGTGTGCCGTCGGGTATGTGAGGCCCGGGGCGGGGCGCACCGCAGCCGCCGCTCGAGCAACCTCTGCGTTCGCGGCGACGACTCGGCTCTCGGCAGCCTGCGCGCGCGCCTCCGCCGTCGCCGCCACCGTCTGCGCCGTCTGCGCCGCCTTGAACGCGCGCTCCGCCGCCGCCGCCGCGTCGAGTACCTCGTCGGCGTCGTCGGCCGGCTGCTGGCTGGCCCCGTCGCGCCGTCTCATCTTGGCCATCCGAACGCCGAGCCGCTCCGCGCGCGCCTCGTCCTCCGGCAGGGCCTCGATCCGCGACAGGTTGCAAGGGCGCACGAGGACAAAGTCGTCGCGCTTCCACGCCGCATCGGCCTGGCCCGCCGCACCCTGGCCAAACGCACCTCCCGGCGGCCGATCGAGCTTCACCTCGAAACGCGCCGAGCGGCTCTCGAAGCCGACGGTGCGGCCGGTGCAGCCTAGGAGCGGTCATGGGAGGGTCCTGGAAGGGTCCTGGAAGGGTCCTGGAAGGGTCCTAGAAGAGTCCTAGGGCGCGGCCAGAGGG